CATTGTGGTTCTTGACGAAAGTGGGTTGGCTGTTGACGGAAGTTGATTGATTGTTGGTGGTTAACTGAATTACTTGGTGTAATTGTTTGTCTGGGCATTGGAATTGGTTTCTGTCCTAATGGTCGGAAACCGATGGGCTGTGCCCTAGTGGCTGCGTGGTTAGACCTGAAGGTCTGATTCTCAATTTTCAGGCACAAGTGCAGGGCTTGTGGCAGGTCAGCTGGTTCCTTCATGCCCAGCAGACGTGGGAGGTCGCCTCTAAGACCCCGAACAAATGTATCTAAAGCTTTATCTCGATAAAGTTTAGTCATTAATTGTTCTGATTCCCGTGACAATTCCATGCAACCAATTTTATTTAAAATCAGAGACAGATGTTTGTAGACCGCTTGGTGGAATTCCTCCACTGTTTGGTTGTTGGTCTGAACTATCGTTGTCATCTGATATTCTAACGTACTCAAGTCACGTTTGTCTGCATAGTGCAGTGTTAAGCACTTCGACATGGCACCCCAATTTAATGGAACATTGTATGATTCCAAGGCTATGTCGGCATTGCCAATGCAAGATGCCAAAATATTTTGGGGTGCCCCGTTGGGACTCATAGTTCTCTAATATCCTGTCTACTCCCTTTTTCCATGAGTTAAATTGAGAGGGATCTCCTGAGAATTCGCGAAGACACTTCACCACGTCTGGCACTCTATCTAAGTCAGCCAAGTTTGCCCGATGTTCTGGCCTAATCTCTTGATCTGGTTCATTTAAGAAATTCTGACTTGGGTTGACTATTTCTCTAACTAGAGCTGGCACATGTTCGTTAATTGCTCGCGTGGCGGAGTCTGTAATAAGGGCTAGCAGTGCTTGCTGTTCCTCCATATTTCTCTGTTGTTGAAATTCTAACTGTCTCTGTAACTGTCGTTGCTGCGATCTTAGTTGTCGCTCCCCTTCTTGTATTTGTTCGTCTAAATCAATAACGGCTGGTCTAATTAAATTATCTTGATTTGCCATATAGCTTATTCGGGAAATTTGGTGTCGTAGTTAATAGAAATGTCAGTGTATCAAAAATAGAAATACAAAATGTCAAAATGCAAAAATACAAAGGTATAAGAATATAAATATGAAAATTAAAGCAAATGTATTGAACGTTTAAAAATAATGAAATATAACATGCAGATGTAAAATCCAAAGTGTGAAATGGTAGGACTAAATGCCAACTTTATCAATGCACTAATATTTTTCTTCGTTGTTTTGACAATGTTGCCCCCTGTATTTGTTATATGACGTGAGTGTGTGTGTTTGTGTGGTATTTTATTTGCCTTTATTTTATTTGTGGCTTTGGATTTCAAATTCGTGTGTGAAAATATTGGGCAACAATTGTCACTTATTATTTCTTCTTGCTTTACAAGGGATTTTTTCGAGGTTTTATTTATAATTTATTTGTAAAAGGTTCGTATTTATTTATGAAAACTTGTTGAAAACCAAGTAGCTGGTTTTACCCTTTTACCCTGGAGGGTCCTTTAAGGATTCGCAGGATTGGGTTATATTATACTGCTCGAAGGAAATAAATTTCCTTTGTCAACGCAGTTAAGACGTAGTATTTGATCGTTTTACACTGTTTTATTCAATCACCTTCTACTATTCACTTAGCTGAAGGTTTTGTTTATAATTCTTTTTTCGTTTTTTATTTAAAATTTTTGTTTTTATGTTTGCTTATTTTAATGTTTTTGGTTGCAAATTTTCGTTTTTGTGTTAACTTATTCACTAGCTTACATTAGGAGTGTTGTTGTGGCCACTCTTGCCGACGATCCGGATGTCATCCTTTTTGGTCTCTCCAGATTCCTACTAGGGCTCTTGCGATGCGTACTGCTTGCAAGTTATCCTGCGGGCGAGCCTGACAGGATGTGTGGATCACTGATTAAATTTTATTTGAACAATTAAGTTCCGCACTATTGGTCGACCGCGATTTTGTGCGGGAGTCTTATTCGAACCGAATAGTTTTTTTTCTTTGCCAACGAATTGGTCGCGACGTATAGACTTTTTGCTATGTTGTCCGACCGCACACTTAGAAAACTTTTTGTCCTATCGCGCGTCGTTGGTCCCTGCTCGGGCGCCAGTTAATTTCACAATGTTTAATTATTGGAAAAAATTATATTTATTCATCGGTCAATTAAGACCTTTTAGTTTGGATACAAATTTAAGACTGAATTTACAAACTTAAGTTTAGCCCTACGCTAGCTGTGGACGCTTTCAGTGACGCTGGCAGCGGCGCTTCCCGTCGGTCGGCGATGCAGCGAACCTCACGTTGAAGAAACTTGGCCATGTCAGCACAATTTGACTTACAGTGAATTTTATGTTGCAACTGCGCTGGCTTGGAATGTGGCGGAAGCCGACGAGACGCTGATTCTGCAGTGCAAGCTGGTGTAACCGAATCGGAGCGTTGACCAGAGTACTTTTAATGTTGTTATTATTAACTTGTATGTATGTATATGATTTGTTCTTATTGATGTCAATAAATAATTAGATTTTGTTATTTAAATATTCTGCTTATTGCCTTCAAACTTCGATATTTTGATGGTATCGGTGGCTTCAACTATCGAAAGTTTTACTCTAGCAAATTGAGATGAGAATTGTCAGTGCTTTTTGATCGTGGCTCATCGCTACACGGCATTGACACGAGTGCCGTGTTTCATATTCCGAGTTTGTGTGTGACCGTGTTGACTCAATATGGCACGAAAAGACTCAAATGTGAATTTAAATTTGGACTCAAGTATCGTTTCATAGTATCCATCATAGTGTAGGAGCACACTAAGAAAGGCTTTTGGAAAATTCTAGCTCCAACGGGGGGAAAACGAGCTTTAAAAAATATTAGTTATAGTGGTCATGTTCGTTTAACGAAATAGTTTGTCAAGAACAAAAATGTAACGGACTACTGAACAATTTTTTGTCAAGAACAGAAAATGTTCATTTAAATACTTTAAATGCTTTCCTACTGGTAACCTTTAAGGTGAAAACAGGTTATGCACACACAAAATAAATACAATTGGAAACATATTGAGCCGGGTTAAGACGGGCAATACCTGCCAGTCATAAAATAAAAAAAAATAAACATAGCGCAAATTTTCTCTAGCTCTTAATATCTTTGAAATCCAGTTGTTCATTTGGACGGGCAGACATGACTCAATGGACTAATCTCGTCACGCTGATCATCAATAATATATATTTGTAGGGTCTGTCATCTTCTGCATGTTACATTTTCACTTTGCACAAACCTAATAAGTACTCGCATTTTTCATTTCATGTATAGAGTATAAAAATGTCACTAATCCTTAAAATACCCCGTGCGTCTACGAAATATTTCTTTCGTAATAAGTGAACAGAGTGTTTATAGCCTGTTTTTTTATAGTTTTATAAGATACGTTAATTTTAAAATGTTAATTTAGAAAGCTAAATAATCATTTTTAATAGATTCTACAGAACATTCAGAAATTAGTTCAAAAGCAGTAAGTGGCTATACCGACACTTTGGAATCACTCGGATCTAATTGGCCAGAATCTGCAACATACGATGGCATCAACTCATCATTAACAATAAACGAGTCATTTTCATATGAAGCTCAAGTACCTCTTTTTGATCTTAGAGATGTTGAAATACCTACAGCAAAAACACAAACAAAGAGCAAAAGACACTTTTGTATGTTCTGCAAAAAATTGCAAACAAAATTTGCTCGACACTTACAAAACGTTCATATGAATGAACCAGATGTTAAGAAATTTATGGTTCTTTCAGCTAACGATCCCAATCGAAAAATTCTAATTGATTCTATTCGGAAAAAGGGAGATTTTATCCACAACACCGATCAAATATATAACGAAGGTATTATAATAGCACCTCGCCAAAACCGAATTAATTCTCGTAATGGTCCACATGATTTAATAAGTTGTAAAGGTTGTCTTAGCTTCTTTCGGAAATCGACAATTCGTTGCCATTTTCGCAAATGCCGTGTTTTTCATCCTAATGGTTCGAAAAACATGTTAAGGGATGGACGCAGCAAAACTGGCTATATGCATAAAGCTGCAAATGACATATTGCGTCGAAAAGTTGTTCCAGTTTTAAATGACGATGATATAACGAGAAATTTATTATATGACCATTTGATCGTATTATTGGGAAATGCAGAATGCATGAAGTATAATGCATTACAACATTTAAGAGTATTAAGTAGATTGGTAATAGAATTAAAACAACAGTCGCAAGGCCAAATAAAGGAGTTAAAGGATGCCATTCATCCCAAACATCATGAACTTATGATGTCTAGCATTCGAACTGTTTCCCAGTGGGATAACGAACTTTTGCTTTTTAAAACCCCATCGGTTGCTACAAGTCTAAGTTCATTAATAAAAAAATGTGCAAACATATTATTGACACAATGTATAATAAATCAAGATGAGATAAATAAAAAATTAGTAAATGATTTTATTGTCTTATGGGAAACCGAAATACCTGTAAACATAAACAAAAAAGCAATCGAGGACCAAGCCAAAAAACGTCGAGCTGTAAAAACAATTTTACCTTTGAAAGAGGATATTAAAAAACTCTTTGATTTTGTTAACAAAAAATCCGCCGATGCGCTGAATGTTTTGAATAAGAAATTCGATTTTGAAGCGTGGAATAGTTTGATACGAAGCACATTAATAAGTCTCCAAATATTTAACCGTCGTCGGGCTGGAGAAATAGAATGAATTAGCATTGAAAATTATAACACCGCTCATGCAATGGAAGAAAATATAGACAAAGATGTTCTAAATAAACTGACAGCTAAAACGAAATAAATTGCAATGCAATACAAAAGGTTGACTCTTCGAGGGAAATTAAATAGAACAGTGTCAGTACTTCTTACTCCCTTTGATTGTTTTTGTATCGATATGATCCTCAAACACCGCAGCGAAGCTGGTGTCGATGAAAAAAATTGTTACATATTCAGCGTTGCAAGTCCGAATGTGGTGCCAGCTGCCCAGAAGCCTTGAGGGGCACAATGCTTCGCAAACATTTAGCAACATACACTTCTATGCTAAATGTTGAAGATATTCAGATAGACCGACTCGCGAATTTTATGGGCCATCATAAAGAAATACATAAAAATATTTACCGTGTCCCCGCTACAATTGCGGAAATTACAGAAGTGTCCCAAATGTTAATGGCAGCCATTGGGAATAGCCCCGAACGGAATAATAAGAACCCAAAGCCCGGTAAGTTTCTATGTTTAGCAAAATTAGGCACAATACGTCACATATATTACTCTAACTTACATATTCTCATTAGGCGAATAAAATAAAATCCTAATTGAATTAAATATTTTTTTTTTTAGCAGGTGAACTTTATGAGAAAGATAATTGTGCACAAGACATCGAAAATGAAGGTACAATATTGAAATTTTTAGATAATTGAATTGTGTATGTGTGTGACTGGGTACATGTATGTTATATATAGTATATCACTTAGGGACCCGATCAAGCTCTTGGCCATTGATTATTGATTATCATTATTCGTCGAAAAGACCTGAGACTCCTTTACAGTTTCATCTCCGTGCCCTGAAAGATATACTATAAGTCATATATGAACCATATGGAAAGTAGCCACAAGGTGTGTGAGGGGGGGTCAGCTAACATACTTTGGAAAAAAAAAAAAAAAATGAATTCAATTTTACAGCTGAACCTTTTGAGGATTCTGGATCCGAATACATCGACGAAAATGAGTCTGAAAAGTCAAAAGAGGAAATAGTTGAGCCGCAGCCAAATCGAAAACGCCGCAGTAGTAAGAACAAAAACTATAACATTATACAAATATAAACCAAATTTTGAATGCATGAATTGTATTTTTATTATTAATTTTACTAATCTTATTTAATTTTTAAATAGAATCTCCTTTTGGCAAGACACAACGCATTCGTTGGTCGCCACCTGAGCGAAAAGAGATGGAAGAGGCTTTCGGCAATTTCGAATCGTTGAAAAGATTACCTAGCTTAGCAGAGTGCAATAGGGTTATTGCTGCATCTCAATATTTAAAGCGTCGTACTCCAGCACAGCTTAAGTCATGGATTGACAATCAACGAAAGGCTGAGTCAAGAAAAAAATCAAAATAATTGTATAAAAAGAGTTGCATTACGGAAATGCTAAAACAAAAATTAGTTTACACTTTATAACTTGATACTTTTATATGTTTAACAAACAAAAATGAATGAAAATTTATTCTTTATTTTAAAAGTTTATGAAAGAAAATCATTTTTTTAGAGTTTAAACTAGTAGCATTACCGTAATGTAATTCTTTTTTATAAAATTATTAATATTTTTTTTCTTACGGAGCCTTCCGTAAACAATCAACCGTTAATTGTCAACAGAAGTCTCCGATAAAAAAACAATATTAATAATTTTATAAAAAAGAATTGCATTACGGTAATGGTACTATACAAATTTGTTTGCACTATAAAACTTGATACTTTTAGATGTTTAAATAAAAATTTTAAATGCTACTACAAAAATTTATTTACACTTTAAAGTTTGATACTTATAGATGCTTAACAAACAAAAATGAATGAGAATTTTATATAATTTTAGAAAAATGAATTGCATTACGAAAATGCTACCAAACTTTGATTGATACTTTTAGATGTTAAGCAAACCAAAATGAATGAAAAGTTTTTCTTTATTTTATAAGCTTACTAGCAGGTATTGCCCGTCTTAACCCGGCTCAATATGTTTCCAATTGTATTTATTTTGTGTGTGCATAACCTACCCATATGTTTTCACCTTAAAGGTTACCAGTAGGAAGGCATTTAAGGTATTTAAATGAACATTTTCTGTTCTTGACAAAAAATTGTTAAGTAGTCCGTTACATTTTTGTTCTTGACAAACTATTTCGTTAAACGAACATGACCACTATAACTAATATTTTTTAAAGCTCGTTTTCCCCCCGTTGGAGCTAGAATTTTCCAAAAGCCTTTCTTAGTGTGCTCCTACACTATGATGGATACAAACAAAACTGCATACTCGGAATTTCGAAATTTGTGTTGGAGCTTGAATTATTGGGGTTTTAATATTTATTCACTATTTCAAATGAAAAGTTTTTGTTATAAATTTAGTATGATCAATTTAAAATTTGGATAATGTAATCTACGTAACTAAATCTACAACTTTGCATTCAAGGATTTTCAAAATATGCATTTTACAAAAGCGTGCAAACGATTGAAATAGCCAAAGCAACATGTGAGACACTAATGTGTGAATGTCCATAATGTATATGTTTGTATATTCGTCTTGCACTGACAGAGCAAGATATGTTAATTAATTGAAAATTATATAATATAACATTTTTAAAAGTAATTTTTTCTTTGTTTAGTGCATTTGGCATTAGGGTTTTCATTAATAACTTTATGCAGCAACAACAAATATCAAATAGTTGGGGACATCACATACACACACTCACACACACAACAAGCAACAATTCGTGTCTATGTGTGCGGTTCTCTACGTACGGTTGAAAAAGTAAAGAGAAACATACATATGTATGTATTAATTCGCATTCGTATTAATGTATACATTGGGCAATCGAACACAGTTGTTTGATTGTAAAAAAAATAATGCTCTAAAAACAACAACAACTGTAAGTCATTGGCCCGCTCTTCTTTCGTTTTGACCATTTAATGTTAATTGCAAAGGCAAAACGCCAAAAGTTTACAGTTACCGTCGCTAGGCAACGACTGCGTAAGCGATAGTAAAGCAGAAACCGAATATCGGAGCTACGCATATTCTGCTTCGCATTGCGGGCAGATGTATGTATATGATTTGTTCTTATTGATCTCTATAAATAATTCGATTTTACTATTTAAATATTCTGCTTATTGCATTCAAACTTCGATATTTTGCATGTATGCATGTTGTATGTATGCGTGAGTGTGTGTATGTGATGTCCCCAACTATTTGATATTTGATATATGGCAAGTAAAAAACATATTGCTATATTTTAATCGTTGAATGCCAATTTGTTGATATAGTTATGTTGATTACATTACCCAAATTTGAAATCGATCAGACAAAATTTATAACACAAACCATTCATTTGAAAAAGTTAATAAATATTAAAACCCCAATAATAAAATTAAATGCGATATATCGAAAATATCGATACTTGTGTTGATATATCGTAATACATGTCGAATACAAATACATTGAAAAACATCGAGAGTTATTGATTATAATACCGTATTCGATTGTTCACTGTACACATACATACATAAATACATACAAATGTATTTGTATGTGTACGGTAACTGTAAACTTTTGGCATGATCAGCCGTAAATGATCAAAACGAAAGAAGATTTGCGAGCCAATAACTTGTTGTTGTTGTTTTGAAAATTTTGATTTGAAACCATAGAACACTATTTATTACAATTATACAACAGTGTTCGATGGCCCACTGCATACATACAAACCTATATATGTATGTATATATGAATGTATGTACATACATACATACTTATTGATGTACATATGTACATACTATACATACAGACGTATGTACAATAATAATAATGTACCCAAAGGGTGAAAGGCTATATCGACTCGGCTTGTCATGCTGATCAAGAATATATATACTTTGTGGGGTCTACCAAGCCTCCTTCTGTGTGTTCCATGTGCACTCGCACAAAACTAATATACCCTTGTACCCTTTGGGTACAGCAGCAGTGTTTTCTCATTACATCAGTGTTGTATTAAGGAGCTTGATTCAATCAAAGAAAATCATCGTGTATATGGACGACATTATCATTCCAACACAAAGTGTGGAGCAAGGAATTGATCACTTTGAAGAGTTTTTACAAGTGGTAACGAAAGCTGGTTTGCATATTAAGTGGGAGAAAGCTCAAATCTTTTGGGGTATGTAGTTGAGAATGGGGCAATATCACCAACCGAAGATAAAGTGCAGACAGTAGCCAACGTTGCAACGATTCTTAGGTCTTACATCCTATTTACGCCGATTTATTAGAAACTATGCTCTAGAGGCAAAGCCATTGACAGACCTACTTAGGAAGACACATACGCAAGATAGTAAATTCATCGAATTAAAGGAAGATGGTGTGATCGCTTTTGAATATCTTAAACAGTTGATAATTAAGGCACCAATTTTAAGGCTGTATGATCCATCCGCGGATACCGAGGTACACAGCGATGCCAGCAAAAATGGGTTCGGGGGAGCTTTAATGCAAAAAAACCCAGAGGACCAGTTGTTCCATCCAATTGAGTATATGAGCCGTAAAACAACACAAAGTGAAGAAAAATATAGCTCATATAAACATATGCTATTAGGAAGTGGCGGGTATACCTCCTTGGTTTAAAGTTTAAAATTGTTACGGACTGTAATGCATTCGCTATGACATTAAAAAAAGAAGACGTACCTACTAGAGTAGCAAGATGGGCGCTATTTTTGCAGGAGTTCAACTACGAAGTAGAGCATAGGTCAGGCAGTCAAATGACGCACGTAGATGCTCTCACTCGGCTGTCGTGTCTTTTGATTGAGGATTCTACAAAATTTAGATTAAAAGAGGCCCAGGATAAAGACCATTGGGTGAAAGCTATAAAAACTGTATTGAATAACTCTGACGTGTATATATACAAAGATGCAAACAAAGAATTGTTGGTTGTGCCAGAAGTAATGCAGGATGAAATTATAAGCATTGCACACAGAGACTAGAGATATTCTTGAGAAAGCATACATGGGATCCAGCCAAAAATTGAAAAAATAGCAAACAGTTGTGTGGAATGTTTGATCGCAGAAGCTAAACGTGGTAAAAAAGAGGGTTTGCTAACGCCAATAGACAAAGCCCAAGATCCACTAGGAACTTTTTATATTGATCATGTTGGTCCTCTTACGGACACGAAAAAAAATATAATCACATAATGACAGTTATTGATGGTTTCTCAAAATTTGTGTGGCTTTACCCTACAAAATCAACAGGGACAGAGGAAGTTCTTGATAGGCTGAGAAAACAAGCATCGGTATTCGGGAATCCCAGACGAATTGTTGCAGACAGGGGGTCCGCATTTACTTCAAACGCGTTTTCTGAATATTGCCTTGCCTCAACTTTTACATATAGCAACCGGTATGCCACGAGGAAACGGTCAAGTGGAACGTGTACACAAAATCGTCATACCCATTGTTCGCGTAAGAGGAGTGCGTACTGTCCGTCGGTCGTCGGCTGCCGACTTTGAATTCACCACACCGGCGACCGCCTAGCAGAGGCTTAGAATAAGTTTAGATTAGGCTTAGTTTTTAGTATTCGCATTGTATCGCAAGTGTGAAGTCAGCGCATGCGCGCCCCCAAATCGATTTAAGTTAATCTGTGAAGTTTTAATTGAAACAATAAACGACACCAACACCACATCAACTCGCCCTCTGCATTTGGTACTACACAGCGTCCACCCCACTACATTTTCATTGGTCCTTCGAGCCGGATATTGTCTGCTGCACCTCCAACCTTCATCCTCGTCTTGTGCTGCTTTGAAGTCCTCCCAGCTAGCATCGGTGGATTCAAGTGTTAAGTACCATCTGTAAATTATCCATTTACTATTGCTAAACCGCACTGTCCAAGTGCGTTCCGAAAAAAAGCAATTTACAAGTGCAAGTGCCAGTGCAATCAAAAGAAAGGAAAAATTGTAGCGGCTTATATGTAGCTTATGTACATATCTTACATCAAGTATACATAGGTACATATAGATATATAAGTCGCCATACTGTTTTTCCCGCCTTTGAGAGAGAGACTCCTGCGAACTTCGAATTTCCAATTCAAACTCGGCC